CTATTGTTACACTTAAGGAATTCCTTAAAACAGATTGTTTTTTTGGTCATGCACAACAGAGGTCTTGTTTTCAGGTTCCTCCATCACTTTGACTTTTCTGTCAACAGTTTCATAGATGTTAAGGCTGAGACATTCTTTAACTTTGTGCAACTGAGATGAGAGTTCTTTGTTAAACGAGAAGCTTGTTTCTGAAGGTGTGATTTTGGCATCCTTTGGAATTTTGTACTGTGATTAAGCATCACATGAAAGGCTTGTCGTGGACAAGCGTTTCACTCCTTGTATTTTGCTTGCAGCAAGTTGGTTCTTTTTTTTGGAGAATAGCAGACAATTTTAACTTTTTCATCTTCAGAAGTTTGGATATTACAGTTTAAGCAGTTTGTTGTAGTATTTTTCGCTGTTTTAACTGTTGACTCAACTATGATAATAAATGTACATATCCCTCAAGTGTTGTTTCTGCAAAATAAATTACAATCAATGAATGTTTTATTTTTCCGTTTACATAAATATACATATACGAATAAATCTCCATGATTTCGGAACTGTAGCAACAAGACTTCGGTCGTTAACGTCGTCATTGACTTCACGAGCATCAAGAACGAGGACGTACCACAGACATACAAGATACGCTTTGGTGGACTTTTCCAAGATTTCAAGAGTTAACCAAAGACAAAAAAACATTAGATTTTTCCTTTAAGAGACACTAGCCTAAACTGCACTTAATTGTAACATTTAGAATAAAAAACGTTGAGTTAGTTTCTCAACATTTAGGGATAGAAATTTTACAGCACAACAATGATTACATGCGCAAGCATTTTTAACAGTGAATCTTTTTTTGCTGTAATTTTTTATGTACATCCCGAAAGTGTATATATATATATATATATATATATATATTTGCTCAGCTCTAATTTAATCTATTGAGCACCATTTACAGTCCATGACGACTTCTATCTGTTATATATTTGTTAAGACTAAGAATTCTTTATGAAACAATTCAGCAACAAATGACAGAAGAAATACCTGAAATACCTATGTAAATACCTGAGTCTGAGTGTTGTTTTGATTTGTTGCTAAAAAGAAAAAAAAACATATATTAGATAATGTTAGTTTATTTGAGCGTAGTGTTAAGAGAAACACTCACCTTTTTTTGGTAGCCATTGTTGCCAATGTATGATATGTCTAGTAAAACAAATTATGGAAAATATGTTGCAACTGAAACCATAGCTAATGAGTTAACGCATCAATTGCTCTTAAGTCATTTTTAGTGATTTTGGATGAAATCTATGCACAGCAATAGCATCATTTTATGAACACAACAGGTTTTAATAGATATTATTTTCTTACAGCTTGTACTGATCTTGTCCTGCCTACAGCAAACTGTGTGGTAACAGGCTTGATTGGTGTCCATGTTGGATCAATACTCTAGCCATACAACTGTCTATTGTCACGTCTGGTTTTCTCACCAACATCAGCATGGTCAAAAGGTACCCATATTATGCCAGATGGTTTGTTTGTCTGATGTATTTGTAATATAGCTTGACAACATTACCAGCACTATTTGTCATACCGTCATCTGTTCTAGTGTTAAGAGATATCTCAGTTCCTTCTCCTACTGCTAGTTTAAGTAAACAATGCAATTGTTTTGTTTTTCTGGGATCATTCGGTACTAGCTTAGGTATTTTTTCCCTCAGTTCTTTTGAATCAGCTCCAATGACACCGTCATGTGCTTCTATAGAACATTTAGTTCCTGATAGAGCATTATGTGCTTTGTTGTTGAACTCATTCACTTTTGCATTTTGAATAGAGATGTGGTGCATGTTTTGGATAGTTTGGAATTGTGTTAGCAATTGTCTATTCTTCAAAGTTATTAATATCTTCTGTTGTTTGTTTTCCGTCTGTTAACCCATTTAACATTTCAGCAGAGACTTTACTTTCTCTTTGCCTCATTATTTGTTCGAGTTCAAACATTCTGGAAAAGTTCTTGCTAGGTATTAGTAGCAAGAACTTCATATTCACCATTATCCATATCTTTAAATGTATAGCCATCCATTACAAGTTGTAACTGAAATAAATCATCAACAGCAACAATACTTACAACACCAAAGGGCAGTGGGATACCTTTTATGTCTTTAAGTCTATTGTTGATTTGTACATTGAACACATTGGTATTGCCTTTGATATTTTAGGCTGCTTTACCAGTAGGTTCTAAAATTAACACTTTTGTTTCAGCAAAGTTGACGCCAGGTCTAGCATTATAATATTTCAGTGCTGCTTGATACAAAGCCTTGGTAACATGTGATTCACCTGCTGCACCTGCACCTCCAATTAGGAAACGGAGAAATGGTTCATCTTATGTTTTTATAAGGTGAAGAACATGATAAAAGAATTCCTTTTGTTCTTTGTTCAATATTTGTACCATATGTCTGTACTCATTATCTTGTAATTCATTCATTATCAAAGGTTCAGTATTATCAACTGAGGGTATTCCTAAATCATCTGATAGATTATAGTTTTCATTAAAGTCAGGATGCAAGTCCTGATCACCTTCAGCTTGGTCTTGTTGTTCAATTATTTGTGTACAAGGTGCTGTATCAATATATCTATCTTCTATTATATTCATTTCTTGTTAGATTTCATTGAAGTCTTCATTACAGACAGGGTATTGTTTCATTTGTTCATTGATTACATAATAAAGTAACATATAGTGTTCTTGGTATAATGAACGTATTCCTCACAAGTCAGTTTCTTCGTTTCTCCATGGAGTAAACAACATCATTAGTTCCCAATAATGTTTTTCAGGTTCAGCTTCCTTATTGTACCAGACACTTCTTATTATTCTAGCTTTTGTTCGCTTTTTCGTTTTGCTACAAGTGTTCTTTCTACACTCAACATTATTATCTTCAATTTTATTATCATCAATGAACGTTTCCAATGGAACACCATCAACGTCTATTTCATTTGTTTGTTTTACAAATGGTTTCTCAGTTCTATCATACCGTGCAGCCCAGTCTGAAAGTGTAAGGTTTTCTAGTTTTGCTGGGCGTTTACAATATCGCTTTAACAAACCACTAATAAAGATTTCTTCACTGTCATCATCCATATTTTCAATATCATCAATTGGTTTTAAAAGTTCCACCCTGTTGTCAGGAGGTGAAGTACTAATAAATATGATTTGCCAAGATGCCTTTCTAATATGTAATTGTAATACAATATACACTGCTTCTTGTGCATTCAATATAGTTAAGAAATTTAGTTTCAATATCTCTGGCTTGTTGTTTAATGCTGTGATTTCCTCATCGTACTCCAGCATAGGCTTGTCGTAACAGTTCACTCATACCTTTTTGTCCTTTTGAAGTATAATTTACTATATATACTGCACATGCATATACATTTAATACATACTGGATATCCATATTAGCTCTGCATGCACTCAGGCAAGCATGGTTGTAATTACTCGGGCTTCCGTAGGAAAGGGGGCACGTTTCTAACGAAACTGTGGTGCTACGTCGGTGGGAGAGTATAGCAGGTAATTTAGTGTTAACAACTGAGTTGAAAACGTAAATTGGCCACCGGGCTTTCTGTAAGAAAGCCCGAGTCTTAAATTGCAATCCGTTCTTGGCCGCCAAAAGGGGGGTTATAGTCCTAGGCGTTCCTTGCGTAAACCGCGGAAACTGGTGATGAGAGTGCGACAACTTGTGTTGTCATATGTCCGCTCTTTGTAAACAACATAATTTACAGAATACTGTATAGTGAGAACCGCGTTACAAAGATTCCTGTCTTATATGAGATAACAAATGAGCCATATGTGAGTTCAAACTATGAAAATGCTGGCAAAACTGTAACAGTCGATTTAACAACAAGCTATGATGCAGAGACGAACACCTCACTTGCTGAAAAAATCAAGAATGTTTGTGAACACAACTTCGAAGGTGGCGCTAACAACAGCGAATTGGGTAAGGATACTGACAGAAGCAACTTGAATAGTAAGGTTAAATATCTAAGCTAAGCTCTTCCGTCAGATATTCTGTTTCTGTTATTGGTTTTAATGGGTTCAATACTTGTAAAGTACGATTTGGCTTTTCATACATAATCACTATTATTATTTTCCAAGCGATCATGAATGTGGGTTTGCTTTTCGCATGGAGTTGTACGTGCTTAGTAGAAGACATGATGAACACTCTTGATGACTGTGATCTACTAGAAAAAGTTGTCAATATGACCAATGTACAAATACATAATGATGTTACAGTGTAAATAAAAGTACGACAATTCAGATCTCGTTGTGCAAAGTATGTATATTATGATTGTACTCGTGTTGTGTGTGAATGCCATGGCCATAAACGTGATCATGAACCAGGCAGAGTACCAGTGAGGATGTTAAAACGTCTCTATCAGAAAATTAGAAAACTGCAGTTATTTACGGACCCGATTAAGTAAAAACGTACCAAAGTCATCGAAAGTCCATGATCTTATCAAAAATAATGCAACACGAAAGAAAAGTACACATAAAACAAGAGTCAGGTTCGAACAAAAAATAAGAAGGAAACCAATTTTAGACAAAGAAACGTTAAATTTTCAATGAGATATGTCTACAATTCAAGTAGAGATAAACATGGAAAGAAATATCTCAAATACTCAAGGTTCTTTTCATGTAATTCCCCACATAGTGAGTACAAGGGTGTAATTCACAGAGGCAATTGTACAAAGAACTAGTTCTATAATGATATAGAGAAAACCCTGGTCCTGGTATACATCATGTGGATCCCAGTAAAACAATAAAAGCACCATCTAGTTAAGGAGATATTGTTGTATTTGGAAAAAATGCAGGGCAACAATGTGTTGTAATGAGTTTATGCGCATTAATATACCACAATAAGAAACGAATAGGCAATCC